CTTCAGTTCAGGGAAGTTAATTGCATGTTTGTAATTACTGTACTGATGTGGCTGTATAAAAAGCTTGTAAGTTATTTAAAAAACTAGACACTTAGTAGAAAACATACTGCCTTTATGCCAATCCGAAATATATGGATCATGGATGAAATCATTATTAGATTAAAGAAAATGGTATATTATTTGTATAATTACTTTGAAAGGATATTTCCTGTGGAAGAAATCTCTACTAAACTAACATCTGCAATAATTTGCTTCACTTTGTAGTAGCCATAGGTAATTCGTTTGCACAAATTAAAAAACAACTACAGTAAGTGAAGTTGGACGGAAAGAATATCCAAATTTTATATAATCTTGGTAGGTAGGGGCCAGCCTCCGGAAGTTATTCTTTTTCTGCAAATTAAAAAACAACTACAGTAAGTGAAGTTGGATGAAAAGGATATCCAAATTTTATATAATCTTGGTAGGGGCCAGCCTCCGGAAGTTATTCTTTTTCTGGACTCCTCTGATCAAAGTAATTGAGTTGCTTTCATACTCTTTCTTTCTACCACAAATTAATTCCAGATAGTTCATAGTCTAAAAACATACATTTTATTAGTGGCATAATACTCTTTTCTTTCCTCAGTTAAGGACTTTGTATTTTCAAGTTTTCTATTTTTAGAAATTTGTTCTGAGTTGAATAGTTTTAGTAGACCATAATGTGATTTAGGAATCATGAGTAGTGTACTATTTATGTGTACATATGTACTATTTACTTTTCAAGTGTCTATCATTGTATAATAGAATTCGCAAGATGACTCATAAAATACTGAAATTATGCTTTTCTTTTAGAGTGTTAGGCTCACATGGTTAGGATGAGAAAAGGAAGATAAAGTTGACAGCCAAGAATAATGGCTGAATTCAGATCAGTTTAGAGCAGCAAGTTCTCAGTAAAAACCCATAAAATTCTGCTTTATGTTATACACTGGGCTGCCGGAAGTTGAATTAAACCCACAAGCTACTGCGGTCAAGACGGAAAAGCCAAGGGGAAGTTCTCTGTTCACATTATAAATATATTTTTGTTACTTATTCCTCTTCCATTTCTTAAAGAAGACTTACTGATACTTCCAAGATATTTTATTCATTGATTTACTAAACATATCTCAGTCTAGCAAGGCAAAATCAGTAGCTTACATAACTTATTAGCAAAATGCAAAGCATCCAAGTTATGATTAAAACAATAGTAGCACCATAAAACTCTCCAGCAAAAACAAAATGTACACAAGTAACAAGTGGCAAAAGGGGGGATAAAAGATGGCAGCCCCATATAAAATGAATTGCAGTAGTCAGCCAGATAGTAATGAAGATATAAATTTGCGTACCTCCTATATTAGGTAAAGGTTACAATTAGTTTGTCAGTCAAAATAAGATTAGAATGTCAATATAATATTAGAATATAACATAAAGCCTAAAATTAAATTTCTGTTACTTCAGTCCTAAAAAGGGAATCAAAGATACTAAAATGTACACATGCTTGAGCAACTACTGTATTCTATTCAAAGACTGGTAAAAATAAGTTAGAATAAAATAATATCTGCATTCACAAGTAATCGGCTGTTTAAAATTGTATATGTGTGAATATATTTGCAATTTTTAAAAAAACCGATTTCTGGGATTACAAAGTAAACAAGCTACATACATACCCTTGCTAAGATCTAATGCACATTGTTTGGCCTTGGCTTGGTAATATAGTTTTAGTATACTAGTCCAAGGAAATTCTATTGTGTTAATGGTGAAAACATTAAATGGTTTAAACTTTTAAGAATAAAATTTTTTTTTCAGTTTCATGTAAATTTGACCATATTTTCAAGATTTAAATTTGGAAACAGTTTAATTATAAAATACTTAATTTTATATGGAGGAACTTCAATATTCTCCCTAAAATAAGTACTATTATTTTAATGTTAATATATTTGCACTAGATGGTGGTTATAAAAATCCTTTCTGGGCTTTATGCTTGGTTTAGTCTTTTTAGCTTCTGAATATATTACTCTAATTTATGCATGCCTGTATATTAAAAAACTTTGCAAATACTGTAAGTGCCCCAAAGTTGCAGAGTAACGTATTCAGATATATTGTGTAATTATTTGTGATGTATTTGTGATACGAAGAAGAAATCATGCATCTAACATTTTTCTTTAACTCATGAACAATTGTGAATTGGTTAATCCTTGAGTTGAAATGAATGTTTTGAACACCAAAAACCAACTCTTTTTCTGACCGATTGAGATCCGGTGGTAGATTTCCAAGATTAACAGTATATTGTTTTTGATCTATCCAAAAATAGCCACACCCAATTCCCTTTCCCCTATTTTAGATCTCAGACATGTTGCAATAAAACTCTTCCAGTTGTGTGATTTATGTCAAACTGTATTATAGAATTGCTCAAATAGAAGTTTCATAATTTGAGAATCAAATTCCCACGAGCAGTTCAGAAGGCCTATACTGTAAATCTGATTCTAGATATTTTTTAAAAAAAAACAACACCTCTTAATTTACTTGAAATAAATCCTTCAATTATTGTCTTGATTGTTTCCACAATGAGAAGTAACAAAATTACAGTGTTACCTCCTTAGAAGAAGTTCATGAGCTCCAAGAATTTAGATTAGCAATGAGTTTAATGCCATCGGTTATTTTTCAGCTACCAGTGTTCCATCGCCATCTGGTTCTGTCCCTGGAGCATCTGCCCCCTTTCGACCTCTCTTCAACGATTTTGGGCCCCCATCTATGGGCTACGTGCAGGTGAGCACATAAGGATGAGGAAGGTCTTGCTAGTTGATGGAAATGATGGTAGAAGGATCCTCTGTTGTTTATCTCTGCTGTTGATCTTGCAGGCTATGAAGCCACCAGGTGCCCAAGGCTCCCAGAGCACATATACAGATTTGCTTTCTGTAATTGAAGAGATGGGCAAAGAGATCCGACCTACATACGCAGGCAGCAAGAGTGCTATGGAACGACTGAAGCGAGGTAGGAAGAAGCATTCTCATCATAGTACATGAGCACAATTACTCATTTTTGTGCAGTTACTCAAATTTGTCCTGTCAGAGGCTGGCACTAGCTGAATTTCTCACGTTCCTTAGAAGTTCACACATATATATGGCTGGCTTTCCCAGAAGTTCTGCAGACTATTCTCAAATGCAATGCTGCACAGTAATGAGTAGATGACTGGTTTGGCAATTTCCAATTAACTCTTCCAAGTCATGTCTTTTGAGTTTGTAATTCAAAGTTGGCTTAAAGTTCTAGTCTTGCTCAGGAATGAATGAAAACAACTCCCTTAACCCTATTAAGCCAGAGTTCTCAATATTTCCAGCCAAATCAATTCTCACTAATGCAAATAGTTGTACCATAGTAGGAACAGGTAGAACCTGCTAGATTAGAATCTATACCCAGCAGGTATAAACCTAGCTTGTCGGGGAAACGTTGATTTGTTTCTGCAAGACAGCTGTACAACAACTCCTTATGTTATGTACTGCATTGCTGCCAGTTAGTATCTTGTACTTTCTGATTTATTCAAACCCACACATCTGCATTTTGCCCTCTTATCTTCTGATTGATCTTGAATTTAATGAATAAGGTATATATAAATGTTTTATGTGGAAGATGCTACAGTTGCAAATTCTGTCACATACTTTGTGCTTTGTGTTGCTGCTTTTGAAATCCATTATTCAGCATACCTTACTTTTGTGACTTTCTTTCCGCAGGCATTATTCATGCCCGGGCGCTAGTAAGAGAGTGTCTGGCAGAGACAGAGCGCAATGCCCGCACGTAACACTCGCTTCCTCCTGGCACCACCCTTGGAGGATCCTAGCACTTTCCAGCTAATCAACATTTTAGAATCTGGAGTTTTCCCCTTCCTTTCAAATCTTTCTACCAATCAGTGTCTCAAGTCTTAGAACTGTGATCGCCTTCAAAGACCTTTATCCCAATTGGCACCTAAGAATCTGAAGTATCTCCATTTGCATCACAGAACTTCCCGTCAATTGGCATTCTGGGAAATATATACAGAAAGCGTTCATTGTGCATATCCTTGGTTTACTAGTCGAAATAATTGCTGGTGACGAGTTCTATATCTTTATAAAATACATGGGGTTTTTGAATAAATAAAAATCTTTAGAATTTGGATTATCTCTTCTTCACTGTGCTTTTCTATTTTTTTTATGTGGTGAGGGAAATATTCTCTACCTCGCTAAAATATTCCTGAAGGGCATGTATTGCAAGATATGCTTCCTTAGTAAAGCAGTATGAAGCCCTCTCTTCCTCTTGCAACAAGAGTCTCAACCAGTGATCACTGAGCCTGTATTGGAAAACTTGTAATAAAATGTTTCTACTCCTGTACGATTTGTTTTTTGCTGTTACTGTGTCAGACGTTAGGAGTACGGTACACCTATGTTAACATTTCATTTCTAAAGCTTTTCTTTGGTAAATGAGATTTCTGCTGCTTCCCATTCTCATTGGGGCGAGGGGCTTTCATCAGGTAGTTTCATCTACGTGATGTTGGATTTTTATTTCTAAATAAGTATTTCTATGCCCCTTCAGCCATTCAGATCTGAGTGGCCTTACAAGGAGAACACAAATTGCTAATGCAATAGTCCGTAGAAAATACCATATGTTGATTATTATGTCTATTACAACCATCATGAAACGGCATGATCCATCCCAAGCCTCTTTTCAACTCTCTACTTGGCTCCCAAATGCACTTTGAAAATGGCATGTTTTGCAAAGCTTTCTAAATATCAGGAATGACGATGCAGCTCTTATTTCTGGTGATACAATACTCTACAGCAAGGGAGCTCCAATAAAAATGCTTGCCTTAATTCCTCTCCTACCTCATCTCATTGGAGGTAAGGACTCTCAGTATGCACTCCGTCAGCCTGACCTGAACCTGCAGATTTTGCTTGAATATATGGTCTTGCAGATAACCAGGTCCCAAGCTAATCAGTTTATATGTGGAGAGAATTACAATAGTCCAAATAGGTGGTGACATCCTGAGCATGCATTGACCTGGCCATGTCTCCTGTTGCAGTCAAAGCTAGGCAAAGGATCTCCAAGGCACAGTTTTTACTTGTGTCAGTGGGAATTGAGAGTCTAGGAGAATCCCCAGATTGTAAGCCCCCTCTTCCTGGAGAAGCACAACTTGCATCCAGAGCAACTACTCTAAACATACTAAGCTTATGAATTGGGAATCATCCAGCTTTTACTCAGAATAACTTCTTTGTGCCCAGGGGGGAGAGGGTATTATTTGTTAGGGAGGCCTAGATATTACTAGTGAAGCATGAAGGTATAAGATCAGATGTACCTCCTGCAACATGTCTAGAAAAGATTCCTTATAGAAGGGTACAGTAGAATACAAGGGTGTTTAAATCTTCCCTTTTTCCTGTTTCCTTTTTTAGAAAAAGGATAGTTTATAGATAGTTGGAAAGTAATATAGCCTATCAAGAAGAAGAGTAGTCTCAGGGTGAAAAATTGTAGAAAAGTTCACAGAGGAACTTTTTAAAATTATTGTTGAGTTAAAAAGTATGTAAAATGTACTTCAGCCCTTACGGCTACAACTTGAATATCATACGTTCAGAGGATTCTTTAATTGTTCTACCAAAACTAAGTGGAGGTAAATATTGTCCTTTTGCCAAAAACCTATTGGCTATTAACTCTTTACCATTCAGATCAGTGTAACTCGCCTAGATAATATATGAATGCAAGACAGATTTGAGAACTTGGCTTAATAAATTAGTCTGAATGTACAACAGTAAACTTCTTGAGCAAATACATAGTTATTTCTTGACCCTAAAGTTTTTTCTTCCGTTCAATCGTGTCCAATTCTCCAAGATTGCCTGGATTAGTCCCTGTAGTTTTCCTGGCAAGGTTTTTCTGAAGTAGCTTGCCATTGTCTCCTTCTTAGGGCTAAGAAAGTGACTGAACCACGATCACCCAGCTGGTTTTGTGTCTGCAACAGGACTAGAATTTGTGGTCTGGTTTCTAGGCCTGATGCTTTAACCACTACACCAAACTTGCTCTCTACAATACAGGTAGTCTCAACTTACAACCACAACTGAGTCCAGAATTTTGATCATAAGTGATTGTGGTCATAAGTTATCACATGACCTGACTCAATTTTATGGCTATTTTTAAGTAATTCACCAGAGTTAAGCAAATTGTAGTCATTAAGCAAATCACGTGGTTGTAAGTCTGAATCCAGCTTATCAAATGAGTGTTTTCTGGAAAATGGCAAAAGCATTGCAAAACATGATCACGTAACCACTGGATGCTGCAAGTGGGTATAAATGCAAACCAGTTTTGCCAAGTGACCAAAATGCAATTATGTGACTAGGGGGATGGTGCAGCAATCATAACTTTAAGGATGGTTTGTAAATAACTTTTTAAAAATCTGACCTAATTTTGAACAGTCGTTAAACTACCTGTCATAAATCAAGGGCTACCTGTAAATGTAACAAAATGTATATACACAGCCCCTCTCTGGGAGATGGGTGGTTAAGAAATATGAAATATAAATAAATAAAATATATAGCTCCACACGGCACTCCACATAAAAGATAGAAATACATTTCATGAAAGTAGAGGAAAAAATACAATTTTTGCAGAAAATAGATGTTCTCAACAGATGGAAAAGGAGATATTCCTCAAAAAGCCTGGGAAGTAACCTGCAAAAGTTATACAATGATAAATGATGTATATTGTTATATAAAACTGATCATGTATAAAAGCTTCAAAATAGAGAACTGAAAATCATATTTTTGTTAGCAAGTCTTAATACCTATGAGTACAGCAGGTATCAGTTGTATAATCACAAGAAATAGATTTACCCCACAAATACCCTCTAAATCTGAAATGTAGCATTAATTTGTAAGATTTTAATTTTGGAAGGTGTTCTTTGAAAAGTCCCCATAAGTAATGGTTAGTTTATCAGCTTAACTATGAGATGCAAAGTCAGAGAAACCAGTGGGTTTGTCCTGAAGCACAGTTGATTTATACAGATGCATGAACTAAACTGAAGGAGGATGAAATATTGCAAACTATAAAGAAAGGGCTGAAACTCTTTCCAGAAATCTGAAGTATTATTATGCTTACTACTTTTGGAAATTAAGTTGAGGTTCACAATTGTTGCTGAGTATTTTTAAATAGTAATTATGGTGTTGAATTGACTTCCCTGTATTGTGAATTTTTTAAAGAAATGCTTTGTTAAAATAAATACGATTATTAAAGATGAAGTTAGTAACAGAAGAAATTGGACTACCAAATTAGACCTGTATATTGCAGAGAAGGCTGTCCAACCAAGGTGTGTAATTAGGAAGGTGTGGTGGATTTAGGAAGAATCCAAGCTTGCAGATGTGTCATATATTTAAGCAAAGAAAGTGTATACGTTGTTCATTACAAAAAGGAGGATAGAAAAACTCTTGTACCTGTAACACATTTTAAAATCTTGGCAAAATCATTGGTAAGTGTGTTTACATTTCCCTAAGGAAGAAGGGTGGCCCCTGCCCCTTTTGCGCTTTGGCACCATCCATTATTGGCTTCAGCCCCATCAGTTATTGAAAGCAGCTATGGATTGAAAAAAAACGATTTCTCACTCATTGCAGTTGCTTTCATTCTTAATTACTGAGATACCAAGATTTAATTTCTATGCTGCTTTATGATCCTTAAAACAAAATTAATTCTATATATACTTGCTGGGATAGATGGATGGAAGAAGTAGTGAACCTACCATCTATTTATCTTCTATATACTACCAAAACTCTTGTGTCTATAACCTTTAAATCAGGGGTAGGCAACCTTGGCTCTTTTATGATTTGTGGACTTCAACTCCCAGAATTCCTGAGCCAGGGAATTCTGGGAGTTGAAGTCCACGAGTCATAAAAGAGCCAAGGTTGCCTATCCGATTTAAATGAACGAAACAGTGCATCATAGGACCACCATTTTTGAATGAAAGTACCTGTAAGTAGGCTAACTTACAGAATGCATTCAAAATCCAGGACCTAGGACTCCCATAAAATTGAAATTTGGCCAGATTTGTAGGTGCTTCAGTTCTACCACACTGGCATCCAGAGATTTAGTAAACCGGCCCTAGTCTAGCCCTCTTGAAGCCAAGTAAATCAGTCTCATCGTTGGCTATTGGAGGGCAATCAGCTGAGTTAAGCTAGCAGGAAATCAGATGTTGCTCCTGGTTTTACGGCTGTTTTGACCATTGTCATTCTGCTTCTCTGTTTAGGAAAGGGAATACCTCTGAAATGATGATCCAACAGTTTACAGGTTGTCCTAACAGTTTCTTGTATTTTTGAACAATAGACTAACTGCAGAGGTAAGCAACATGCTACCTAAAATGTATTAACTAGATTGTGGTTTAGCATGTTATTATATGAATACAACAAATTAAATATGCATATGAAAAAAATGTGCTACAAATCAGAACTGATGGCAGGTGGACCAAGGCAGTCATAGAATGGATCCCACTTGAGAAAAAGCATCCTCGAAAGAGACCTAAAACAAGATGGATTGATGATATCTGCAAGTATTGGGGGGCCAATTGGCAAAAGAAAGCTCAGGACTCTATTGGTTGGAAACATGTGGAAACATGCAGGAAACCTTCATCCTGCAATAGGTAGACAATGGCTAAAATGATTAAAATATGAAACTGAACTAAATAGAGACAGCAGAGCTGGATACAAATACAATTGCTGAGGTTTGCATTTAAAACATGAACATTTATTTATGTGTTTATATTCCATATTACTACACTCTGCATTCATCATGGTGTACAATTAAAACCCCAAAGAGTAAAGTCAATAGAACAATAAAACAGTAAATCAGCATGATATGCCAAGAACACAACAAATAAAATCACAGGTACATTCAACATTGTTGCAATTAATATAAATAGGCATTTCATGACCAGATGTTGATCTCCAAATACCATACAAAATATTCTATTTTCACAACTTTTCTAAAACTCAGGAGCAAAGGGAGGCAAGAAGCTGTTCCAAAAGATGGGCACTACCATTGAGAAACCTTCACATACTCCCCCATAATGTGCATCTAGGTGGATTCTTCTGGAAGCAGATGGTCTTGCAAGTACCCACGTTCTAACCATATATAGCTTTCTAGGCCAAAACCAGTACTTTGAATTGTGCCTGGAACTCTGTTGCAGCCAATGCAGTGCTTGCGACCGATGTATTATATGTCTGCATGTGAGTTGCTGTGTTTTTTAAATGTTATTTACTTTGCAGGTTTTTCTAGCCCACTAAATTCCAAATAATCTTACTGGATTATAACATATCCAAATATAAAAGCAATATTGGCAATAAATGAACTAGGACTAAATCA